GTCAAAATTGACTATAGTGATATCTTAAAATGAAATACAATGAAATTCTTATGAATTAGCCTTATGGTATAGAAAAAAGTTATTTAATAATGACAATAATTAGTTTTTAATTGGATAGTAAAACTTGACTATAATGATATATTAAAATGAAATACAATGAAATTCTTATGAAATAGCCATGTGGCATGAAAAAAAGCTATCTAATAATAAGAATAGTTAGTTTTTATTTGGATAGTAAACTTCTGTCACCAGAAGAGAAAACAAAAATTTAGTCCTGATGAAGACCTAACTGAAATTTTTTAAAATAGAGTGGAAGAATGGATTTGGAAGTTCGGTGATTTTCTTTTAATTCTTCCTTAGAAACGCCTTAGAAAATATGACTTTTTCTCCACTCAATTTTCCGCCAAAAATACTAACTCAAGCGACGGGATCAAGACGTTCGAACGATTAGCAATATCTTCGGTCAATTCGTGTAGAGTAGCCATCTCTCGTCTTTACAGATCTTTCCCCGTGGCCTGTAAACGTCGTGAAATGTTTGATTTATCGACTTCGAGCTTTTGAGCTCTTTTAACGTCGGAGTTTCTTCCAACAGAGCTCGAAGTCATCTTCGAACTTTTTCGATCGACCGTTTGAATCGTATTTTTGTAGAACGAAAGTAGCATAGCCTTTTCTAAACTATGGAAACATTGCTTAGTTATAGAGTCATAAAAGAATTATCAATCTCAGACGATCTGAGACGATCCCGTGGGTAGATGATTCGTATAGCTTTACTTTGAAACGGTGTCTCGGAGGAAGGTTTTGAGTTCACGAGACCTCGTTCAAAGTGAAGACGTCCTGCCACGTGTTCGTGGATGGGCCGTATATCCTTTCCAGGCTGGCCAAGGAAACAGGAACGACTTGCCTCGACCGAGAACCGGAAGAAGCACGTGCAGACTTAATGGATTCCTCGCGTATGGCACTTAACCGGTTGTTGCCGGCATAAGAGGCACGATTCTCACCTGTCGTTACGTAGGGCGGCCACGTGTCTGTGGGGGTGAGAAAGAAATTACAGTATCTCCTAGCCTAATCGGTAGAACGCAGACCGTTTCGAGCCTGGGTAATTATCGCTTTCCACGCGGTACTTTAAGCGTAGTCAATTATCTCTATACGTATTAAATCATCCCACAAGCTCGTGTCGAGTTTCCTAATAAACCGATAAACATTGTTGCATTAAACTTTCTACAGTCAATAATATTTTTTAAAGTCTAAATTTGAATTTGGATGACAGAATGAAGTTATTATATCTGGAAATTATTTAACGACTAGATTTCAAATTGTACCAGTCAGTGTATTGAAAAAGTGAAAATTTGAATTTGAATAACAGAATGAAGTTACTTTTTAAATCAAATAAAATCCATCTGAAAATTATGCGAGGACTAGGTTTCAAATTGTACTAGTTGGTGCATTTGTCGGATAGAGGATAAAGAGTCCTTTAAAATGAGTGTTCGTTCAAGTCGATAGCGTGACCAGTTCCGGAGATATAACGAATTTTGTTTCGAGTCGATAGCGCGGTCAGTTCCGGAGATGCAAGGCTTCCAAGCATTTGTTTATTTTTCATTGATTCGCGGCGAGGTCGAGGAAATTCCGAGAAATGCTACGCATTCTCGGAAATGCGTACGCGCTCGTAGTAAATAGTAAATAGTGTGCGTAGTGGGCTACTGCGCAGGTCACGTGAGCGGGGTAGGTCAGCACAGCGCAGGAGCGAGTGAGAGGACCGACGCGTAAGACGGAAACAGAGATGGCGGAATTAAAAAAATTACCCCCTCGCATAAATTACGATATCTCCGAAACGAAAAGTCGAATCGACACGAATCCAAAAACTATTTTAAAGAGGAAGCTTTGCCGCTTCCAGCGATGGTTCAGTTTTGCAGAAAACGTCAGTAGTCTCTAAACTGTACGCGTGTAAAGTTTTTGTATTTTTAATACGCGTTGTCAGACTATTTAAAATTCTTTTCGAACGAGCCTCGTATTTTAGAAAAGCAGAAAAATGCCAAGGGAAACGAAAGTTTCGATATCGAGGAAAGCAATTGTATAAAGATCATCTTTGTACCAGCAATCTTCGAATACTTCATTCTACGTGACTTGAAGTGTATTCTTTGCCCGTCGGCGTTAAACACAGATTTTACATTTAAACAAATCCTTCATGAACAAAATTTCACTGTAATAAATTACTTAACGCTTCGTTCACGTCGGTAAACTCGATTTTTAATATTCGCGGACGATGTATCATGCTGTATCTCGCGTCGCAGCGCTATTTCGCGAAATCGATAGCGCGCCGGGAGGAAGCTCTTTTTTTGAAATTTCTCTCGGAAAGGAACATTCGGAAAAACAACCGGAAATCCCGACAGGAGTGATCTAACACCGGTGGCCGATCGTGTCAGCAGGTCGACGAGGCGCAGTTCATCCCTCACGCGTGTTCATACATCGTTTTCACCCCTTGGACACGTGTCCACCCTTTTGTGACGACAGGTGGGCATCAACACCCCCCTCCCCCTCTGAAAGTCCGTCTGATGAACGGTTTTCAACGTTCGCGAGAATGAATTGATCCGTCTTTATTGCTAACATTTCGCTGCGATTAAAGGAGGTCCTCGAAAGGAAAGGTGGGGCAACTAAATGTTAATATTTAATTCCAAGTAATTTTTAAATGTTTCCATTAGAGTGTGCCAATACTTTCGTCCACCCACAAGATGTTCAATAAATACATTTTTGTACATTATTGCTTCCGTTATCTAACAAAACTAAAATAGACAATAAATGAACATGTCAAAAAGTTTTTCCTTCGAATCAAGTTGTCTAGTAGTTACAAGCATTTGGTACGACAATCATACTATGCCAATACTTATGTCCCGGCACTGTAGGTGCTTCGAACAGAGGTCGCCACGGCTGACTGGTTAATAGATCCAAGGAATGATCGAGGTAAGTCTCGAGATCGTCGAAAGCGTGTTCCGAGCGACGCGAAAGTTGCATTCCATTTCCCGAAAATCCCGAAAGAACAGACGCGTCCATTCAGTCGGCGCACAGGGGTCGGGGATCTCGTCGGTTCCTACGACCGTTCCGCCACTTCCGGTCGTAGCACGGCCTCTCGAGCCTCCCGAGTCCTTAAAAGGCGTGGTGGTTCTCGCTGCGTTTCTGCCTCACGGTTAATGGCTTAATGGCGAGTCGATGTCCGAGCAAAGAGGGCAACATTTCACGCAGCGTCGCCAATACACGGGACAATTACAGAGTCCCCGGTGCTACTTCTGCAGTCGGTTCTCGTGCCGCGCGACCGATATCGTGAAACGGCCCGCCGATAGCGCGCCAGGTTTTTATCTTATCACACGGAAACCCTCGTTTCGCCGGCGCGTCGGCTTCTTCTTCGCCGTCCTCCTTCTCCGCGTCGAGAGTCGTTCCGCGCGCTGACAGACAGTGGATCCATTTATTCGCAAATGCCAAGGCCGAGGGAAAGATCGACGATCGGACGGTCGGAGGTCGCGGGGATCTATCGAGCGCGTAGATCTCGCCGGAGGAGCTCCCGTACGTTGCGCAGTCGCGATTTAGACGGAAATTATAGGGACTCGTCGAAACATTGTTTCACGGATACGTCGAAACTAGCGGTGAAATACACGTTTGACCCTCCGTTGGTCGCGTATCAGCGACAGAGTCGTTTGGTTTTAGTTTTGATATTCAAAATATCAACGAATCCAGAATAAAAGGGACCTTGGAGAAAGTCTTTAACAATAAACCTACCGGCACTTCATGTATACTCTACCATGATCGGTCAAATGACTTTCTTTTTCTCTTTTACGAGGCAACGTACTTCTAATTTTTCCATTATATGTATAGAAAGTTGTGTTTTTATGTTTATTCGTTAGATATCCTTCTCTTTCATGCATTTCGAGAACCTGTACAAAAATATTCAATACTTTTACTCTAAACGTGCATTAGTACTTTAATAGTATTAGTAAGTTAGTAATTTTCATCGGATAGAAGATAAAACGCTCTTGAAAACGAATTTTATTTCAAGTCAATACTGTAGTTAATTCCGGAGAAAGCAGTACTTACGAGAAAATGACATAGTAATTATGCAAACACTCTGTATACAGATTTTAATTTATTTTCGATTAAATAAACAATTTATGATCCAGTTTTAGCCTATACTAGTCGTACGATCGATAGAAATTGCTGAAACTTCTTTGGGTGCATAGAGTCAAAGTAAATTTCAAAATAAACATAGAAGATAGCACAAAATATAGTAGTTGTTATAGTCATCGGATAGAGGTTGAAATGCCCTTTAAAACGAGCGTTCGAACAAGTCGATAGCTCAATTAGTTCCAGAGATATAGCGATTTTAGTTTCATGTTGATCGTGTGGTTAGTTCCGGAGATACAAGGGTCCGAAGCGTTTGTTTACGTTTCATTGAGGTCAATGAACTCGCGCGCGTGAAAACAGTAAACACGCGACGCGTCAGACAGAGACAGAGATAGTCAAATTAAGAAAAATATCTTCTTACATAAATTACGATATCTCGAAAACGGGAAGTCGGATCGCCAGAAACCAAAAACCATTTTAAAGGGGAAGGTTTACCGCTTCCAACGATGGCTTATTTATAAATAAAACATTAGTAGTTTCGAAACTGCACGTGTCTAAAGTCTTAGTATTTTTTATATGTGTTGTTAGACTGTTCTAAGACAGTGGAAACTGAAGATTCTCTCCTTTTGTCTTTGTTATACCAGAATTTGATACCAAATTTTGTTTAGTTCAAATATAAATCATCAACCAATCAGATGACCGGTCGTGGTAGGCAAGACAGACTACATATTTTTCTCAGAAAACAAACAATAAGTATAGAAGTGAATATTGTAAAATCCATTGTACGTATGCTATAAGAAAAGTCGTGAAGTTAAATGGCTCTAAAATAATATCGTTGTTGTGGACGGATTAAATTGTGGACTTATTAATTTACGCATTTTGACGATATATAGATTTATTACCATTTTAACAAACTGTACATTATCTAAATAAATGTCACCGGTTGATCGACAGCGCGTGCGCTGCCGCGGGCTCAGCGCCTCTCCCCCCAGACCCCGCGAGCACCACGGGTGGATCGAGCAGCTCGGGCTCTCCGGGGAGTGGGGCAAGAGGAGAGCGTCGAGCGATAGCGCGCGTTACAGCTGATCGCACTCAACCGTATTGTTTCGACCAGCGAGTTTAGCGTCTGTTTTCTCTTGTGACCTCCTCGTTCCGTTGATATTCAAAACGCAGAATAAGTTGGCAAGTTTCCGACCACGGAAAACCCATTTTATTCGAAACATTTGGTCCTTCGAGCCGGATATCGTTTTTCGACACCCAGTGCGGAGTGCCGTTTCCCGTTCTTGTGCGTGGGTTCGTCGAGACGAACCGTTTTTTGCAATAATCGAGCTTCTGCGCGAATCTTCGCCGTCTCGATCCTCCGAACAACCTCCATTCGGACCTGTGGAAAAACGGTAACATTACAACCGTGAATTTCACGAGCTGACCGTGCCCGACGGTCTGTTAATTTTATAAAACGCGTTTTCGCCAACGGCTCCAGATTCGAACGCGTTAACGGCCGTTTTTTCGGTGTCGGTCAAGTAAACAGTGCCGGTGTTACGATACCGTGACCTGGTGTCCTACCCGTAGTTCGTCGACAGTGCTGTGTGTGTTTTTCGTCGTTTGAACTAAACGGTCGTCGTTTCTTTTAAACTTGTCCGGTATGCCGACTAATTCAACCGAACTCGTGTCCGCCCAACGAGAACTGGGTGGACGAATAGTCCGTTTTTTAACCAATTTGAAAAAAACTGGGAAGGAAAGCCTATCTCTCTCCTTACTCAAGCGGAGGCAGAAGCTCCTGGAAGAATATTGGACGGAATTTAGTCACCGACACCGTGAACTGGTGCTCCTTGCGGACAGAAAGGACGCCTACTTTACCACAGATTACTTTTCGGAGGTGGAAGAGGAGTACATCGACCAAGGGGCAGTCATCGATGAATGGGTTGCGACCATGAACGCGTCGACCGTGGACCATCCAGGAACCTCTAAACCACCTCCAACCGTTCAAGATCCGGAACCAGCTCTGCCGCAGATCAACCTTCCCACCTTCTCGGGAGATCTCTTCCAATGGGAAAGCTTCCGTGACCAATTCTGCTCCCTGATCCACAACTCCGCGCGGATCTCCAAGGTACGTAAGCTACAATATTTAAAATCGTGCCTTGTCGGTGAAGCAGCAAAAATGCTCATGCTGACTCCCGTCACGGAGAGCAATTATGACGGAGCGTGGGCGTCTCTGGAAAGGCGTTTTGGCAATCGTCGCATACTGTCCGCGTCCCATATGAGACGGTTAATTCAAATCTCCCATGCGACGAAAACCTCGCAGTCAGAAATCAAACGGCTTCTGGATGAGTTCCGCCAAACTCAGGAGGCCTTCAAGGCGTTGGGCAAGCCCGTCAAAGAATGGGACGAGTGGTTTGTTTTCCTTCTGACGGAAAAACTGGATCAAACCACGCGACTGGCCTGGGAGGTCTCGCTCACCGATCCACTTGAGATTCCGCAGTTCGCCGCTTTGGAGATGTTCCTGGAAAATCGGGTCCACGCTCTGTCCTCGGCTCGCCAGTTCGATGTACCTGCCGCCCCAAAGGTACCCTTGACAGGTCGTGGCAGTCCCTCCGGTCCCACGCGTACTGCAATGACGGTCAACGTCAGCGAGGCAAAAAGGAAACCGAAGGGTGGCCGTCAGTGCCCGTTATGTTCCGGTACCCATACGCTAGGCGCGTGCAGACGGTTCAGGGGCTTACCGAACAACGAGCGTCGAGCGTTCGTGACGAAATCGGGCGTATGCATCTCGTGTTTAGCTGCCGGTCACCAGGTCCAGAACTGCACCTCCAACTTCCGCTGCTGGGTGTGTGACGGGCTGCACCACACCACTCTTCACGATGCCTGCAACAGCACGATCGGAGAGAGAAACCCAACACCTTCAACCTCTACCTGCTCCGCCACCTACACCGTGAGCTCACACCGGGTGACGCTCCTAGCTACGGCCCAAGTGCTTCTCGAAGGTCCGGATGGGAGAACAAGCACAGTTAGGGCCTTGCTGGACTCCGGCTCGGAATGCTCATTCCTCAGTGAGTGGGCGGCGCAATCTCTGAGGCTGCGGAGGCGAGCGGTTCGGGTCAACCTCACCGGGTATCAAGGAGCCAGCGTGGGGACGGCACGATCCGAGGTTCACGTGACCATTCGGTCACCCCTCGACGACAGTTTCCGGCTGCAATTGGAAGCCCTGGTGACCAAAAGCCTCACCGCACCCACACCATCGCAACCGTTGGAAGACAAAGAGTGGCCTCACATCAAGGGACTGACCTTGGCTGACCCGACGTATACTGTTCCAGGTCGAGTGGACGTCCTCTTGGGAGCCGACGTCTGTGGCCGCTTGTTTCAGGACAAACGCGAGGGGCCTCCTGGAGCACCGGTGGCGATCTTGACCCCCTTCGGCTGGACACTCATGGGGCTAGCTGACGGCTCGGGGTCCTCTCGATCCGCCCGAATACTACACGTCCGCCGCGATGCACCATCGATCGACCTCCAACAGTTCTGGGAATTAGAAGAAGTTCCTGTTACCACTCCGATGACTCCCGAGGAACTGAAGTGTGAACGACTGTTTCAGGACACCACGTTCCGAGAAGAGTCTGGTCGTTACGTCGTGCGTTTGCCCTTCAGAGATGCGGCGACGAAGGTGGGGACCTCCAGAACACCTGCCCTCAGAATTCTGCTCTCGGCCGAACGGAAACGAGAACGGGACCCCAGTCTTCGGCAGCAGTATTCTCGGTTTATGGAGGAGTACCAGCGGCTGGGGCACATGAGTGCGGTAACCAAACCGCTAGCGGAGGACGATGCCGGTTATTACCTACCTCACCACGCAGTTTGGAAGGATGCTGACGGCGTGCAGAAGATCCGGGTGGTCTTCAACGCCTCCTGTACCTCGGCTGGAAGCGCCTCACTTAATGACGCGCTGCTGCCGGGACCGAAGCTGCAGACCGACCTCTGGGCGGTCATTACACGATGGCGGCTCTTCAGGGTAGCTTTCTCGGCGGACATCGTCAAGATGTTCCGGCAAATCCTGGTGCATCCAGACGACCGGGACTGGCTCCGCATCCTGTGGAGGAACGATCCATCAGAAAGGGTCACGGATTTCCGCCTCAACACAGTGACTTATGGCACTGCACCAGCACCCTACCTGGCCCATCGGGTGCTTAAACAGCTGGCTGACGACGAAGAAGCAGCGTTCCCATTGGCCGCCCAGGTGCTCCGTACCAACGCCTACGTCGACGACATCTTGGCTGGGGCCGACAACATCGAGGAAGCCTGGAAGATACGCCAAGAACTTACGGACCTGCTCCGCTCGGCAGGATTCACGCTCGACAAGTGGGCCAGTTCCGACAGGAAGCTGAGCTCACCGTTCGTTGAGGTAAAAACCTTCCAGGAACCCGAGGTCCATGGAACATTGGGTCTCAGGTGGGACACGACAAAGGACTCGATTGCCGTGCGAGGACCGTGCATCGCCGAGGAGAGCCCCAGAACCACGTGGACCAAACGATTGGTTCTGTCCGAAATTGCACGACTCTTTGACCCACTGGGATGGTTAGCGCCGGTCTTGATCCAAGCTAAAGTTCTGTTACAGGATCTATGGTTAGCAGGAGTATCGTGGGACGAGGCCATCAGCGAGCCGATTACTCACCGCTGGACAACCTTCCGTCGGGAAATTCCGGAGCTCGACGAGATATCCGTACCTCGGTGGCTTCAGTACTCGCCAGGCGACTGTGAGGCAGAGCTACACGGGTTCTGCGATGCGTCCGAGCGTGCTTACTCTGCAGCCGTATACCTGGTCGTGCGTCGGGCTACGGGATCCACTGCGTCACTGGTGATGGCCAAAACGCGAGTAGCGCCGACCAAACTACTCAGCATACCTCGTCTGGAGTTGTGCGGTGCCGTCTTACTGGCGCGACTGCTGGCAGCGCTGCAAAAGGGACTGGGATTCAACAACATCAGGATCCAGACATGGTCGGACTCTACGGTGGTGCTAGCCTGGCTTCAAGCTCACCCGTCTAAGTGGAAGCCCTTCGTCGCACATAGAGTAGCTGAGGTACTCAACCTCGTATCCGGAGCGTCCTGGAGGCACGTGAGTACGCACGAAAATCCTGCCGACCTGGCAACCAGGGGAATGTCGAGTCGGGAGCTGCAACAATCGACCCTGTGGTGGACTGGACCGACTTGGCTCACCAGGGATCCCGAGCAGTGGCCAGCGTCTAGATCTTGGAGCGCGACCGAACGGGTACCTGAAGAACGTCAGACCACGGTCTTGCTGTCGAGAACTTCGGACGAGGAAAATACTTATCTGGCCAGGTTTTCCTCCCTCGATCGCCTTATTCGTGTCACCGCTCAAATCAGGCGATTTGCGACCCGCTGTAGGACAGCGGAGAGTGAAAGGACCGAGTTCCTGACCACGATGGAACTCCAAGGGGCGCTGCTCACCACCATCCGTCTGAGCCAGCGGGAAACTTTCACCTCCGAGCTGCAAAAGTTATCCGGGGGTTCTGCGATCCCTACAACATCCCCACTAATTTCGTTGCGACCTTTTCTAGGACCGGATGGGATCATCAGGGTCGGCGGACGGCTGCAGAACGCTACCTTGGGAGAGGCTCGTCGTCATCCGGCTATTCTCCATCGAGCGTCACATCTGGCCACTCTTGCGATCAGGGATGCGCATCACAAGACCTTACATGGCGGAGTCAACGCCACCCTGGCATGGGTCCATCGGGCTTTTTGGATTCCCAGGGGTCGTGCTCGGGTCAAGCAGGTACTCCACGAGTGCGTCGTTTGCACGCGGACGAAGGCCAGAACAGGTCACCAGCAGATGGGCAACCTGCCTGCGGCCAGAGTGCAACCATCGAAGCCCTTCCTCCGTACAGGGGTGGATTACGCAGGCCCATTTGCATTGCGAACGGCTAAAGGCAGGGGCCACAAAAGCCAGAAGGGTTACGTAGTGGTCTTTGTCTGCATGGTCACTAAAGCGGTGCATCTTGATGCAGTAACTGACCTTACATCCTCTGCGTTCCTGGCAGCATTCCACAGGTTCACCGCACGCCGAGGTCACTGCGGTCAACTATTCAGCGACAACGGTACCACCTTCCAGGGAGCATGTGGACTGCTGCAGCGGATGTTCAGGGCCACGTCAGATTTCTATGGGGCAGCGGCTGGGACCTTGGCCAATGAGGGCACGGAATGGTCCTTCATTCCACCATATTCTCCACACATGGGGGGACTATGGGAAGCAGCGGTTAAAAGCATGAAAACCCACCTCAAACGAGTCATAGGTGAAGCCACACTCACCTATGAGGAGATGGCCACGTTGCTTTGCCGTATCGAAGCCTGCCTCAACTCGCGACCACTCACGGCTCTCTCCGACGATCCACAGGACCTGGAACCCTTAACCCCAGGGCATTTTTTAGTAGGGGAACGAATCCGCTCACCACCTGAACCTCTCCTCGAAAATTTAACCATCCCACTTACCGCTCGTTGGAAGCTCGTCACTAACTTGCACGAACACTTTTGGCGCAGGTGGAGTCGGGAGTACACGCACGCACTACAACAGCGCGTAAAATGGCCGAGGAAGCAGGACAATCTCCGACCGGGCAGATTGGTGCTGGTGAAGAACGACCTCGCCCCTGCGACTCGATGGCCGTTGGCCAGAGTCGAAGTCCTCCACCCCGGGAGTGACGGCCTTGTTCGCGTCGTGACCCTGAGGCAGGGCTCACGCACCTTCGACCGAACCGTGGCGAAATTGGTCCCTCTGCCCGTCCACGATGACCACAACCCGGCTTAATTCGAACCACGTTTCTCCAACGTTTCTCATGGCGGGCGGCGTACTACGTCGTACTACGTCGCACCACGACGAATCCACGAGAGGAGCCCGAACGACGCCGACCGCGCCCGAAGCGATCCATTGAGTCCATCGATTTCGACATCGATAATTCGACGTCGAGGCGGGCGGCATGTTGTGGACGGATTAAATTGTGGACTTATTAATTTACACATTTTGACGATATATAGATTTATTACCATTTTAACAAACTGTACATTATCTAAATAAATGTCACCGGTTGATCGACAGCGCGTGCGCTGCCGCGGGCTCAGCGCCTCTCCCCCCAGACCCCGCGAGCACCACGGGTGGATCGAGCAGCTCGGGCTCTCCGGGGAGTGGGGCAAGAGGAGAGCGTCGAGCGATAGCGCGCGTTACAGCTGATCGCACTCAACCGTATTGTTTCGACCAGCGAGTTAGCGTCTGTTTTCTCTAGTGACCTCCTCGTTCCGTTGAGATTAAAACCGCAGAATAAGTTGGCAAAGTTCCGACCACGGAAAACCCATATTATTCAAAACATTTGGTCCTTCGAGCCGGATATCGTTTTTCGACACCCAGTGCGGAGTGCCGTTTCCCGTTCTTGTGCGTGGGTTCGTCGAGACGAACCGTTTTTGCAATAATCGAGCTTCTGCGCGAATCTTCGCCGTCTCGATCCTCCGAACAACCTCCATTCGGACCTGTGGAAAAACGGTAACATTACAACCGTGAATTTCACGAGCTGACCGTGCCCGACGGTCTGTTAATTTTATAAAACGCGTTTTCGCCAACGGCTCCAGATTCGAACGCGTTAACGGCCGTTTTTTCGGTGTCGGTCAAGTAAACAGTGCCGGTGTTACGATACCGTGACCTGGTGTCCTACCCGTAGTTCGTCGACAGTGCTGTGTGTGTTTTTCGTCGTTTGAACTAAACGGTCGTCGTTTCTTTTAAACTTGTCCGGTATGCCGACTAATTCAACCGAACTCGTGTCCGCCCAACGAGAACTGGGTGGACGAATAGTCCGTTTTTTAACCAATTTGAAAAAAACTGGGAAGGAAAGCCTATCTCTCTCCTTACTCAAGCGGAGGCAGAAGCTCCTGGAAGAATATTGGACGGAATTTAGTCACCGACACCGTGAACTGGTGCTCCTTGCGGACAGAAAGGACGCCTACTTTACCACAGATTACTTTTCGGAGGTGGAAGAGGAGTACATCGACCAAGGGGCAGTCATCGATGAATGGGTTGCGACCATGAACGCGTCGACCGTGGACCATCCAGGAACCTCTAAACCACCTCCAACCGTTCAAGATCCGGAACCAGCTCTGCCGCAGATCAACCTTCCCACCTTCTCGGGAGATCTCTTCCAATGGGAAAGCTTCCGTGACCAATTCTGCTCCCTGATCCACAACTCCGCGCGGATCTCCAAGGTACGTAAGCTACAATATTTAAAATCGTGCCTTG